GTTTAAGGATAAGGATTTTGAGTTCCAGAGAAATTAAGAAATTTCCAGACTCATAGAGTTACAGATGGCAAGAGAGGAGGGCAACAGTGTCCTCTTCCTGGGCTCGGTGCTCCAGGTCCCAGTGCCCCTGATGGCCTGATGAGGGGCACGCTGAGAGTAGGGGGGAGAACTGGGGTTTAGTCTAAGGCCCCAAACACTGATTTCTGGAATGAGAGGAGAGCCGTACTGTGGTTTAAGTCCTTGCAACTTCTACAAAGTACCATCTGAAGTACCATTCGTACATGTGTGTCTTAGTGCAAGCTGCTATAGATAAAGTGGCTTATAAACAACAGAGAAGTTTATTCTTCCCAGTTCTAGAGGCTGGAAGATCTGAACTCAGGGCACCAGCATGGTCAAGATCTGCCAGGCTGCAGAGCTCTTCCAGGGAGAGAGGAGGCCAGTGCTCTCACCTTGGTGCTAATCCCAGGCAGGAGGCCTCCACCCGTCCTGATTACGTCCCCAAGGCCTCTGCCCTTAGGGCTGTCCTGTGGGACAGCAAGTAAGTTTCCAGCATATGAAATTTGAGAGGGGGCACAAGGATGCAGTCCTGCTGGGTGTGGTAGCTCAAGTCTGTAATCTCAGCATTTGGGAGGCTGAGACAGGAGTTCAAGGCCAGCCCGGACTCCATAGAGAGACCCTGTCTCAAAAACCAAACAAACCAAACCAAACCAAAAACATTAGTCCTCAACCCTTCTTCCCTTTGTTTTCTGTCTTTGCTGTCTTCTTTTTCTGTTCTTTCTGTTGCTTCCTTTCTTCTCTCTCTGTTTCTAATATAAACACACACATGTATAATTCCTGTCATCTTTCCTCCATATATATTCATATATGAGCACTAATATTTTTTCTGAATGAAAATTACAGAATGTACATAATGGGGTGAAGCTAGTTTTATTTTTAAAAGCGAATATTCAAAGGCAAAGACAAAAGGAAGCACATAAAACGAAGAGTACGTGATGCATTATGAACGATTTTATTTCATGATTTTTGTCTGTTTTCACAAGTTTCACTGTTTTCAGATAGACTGATGTGGTTGCTGTCAGAACTCTGAGTATTTCAGCTTGCAGCACTCCTGGTTACCAGGGCTCTCAGTTTGTGCCCTGGAACAGTCTTCAGAATAGGGTGCACGTTGACTTGACATAACCCCTTGCACTCAAGGCTGAGGCAGGAAGCCTGGGGTCACTCGGTGGGTGGGCCTGGGTCCCCCTGAGATCAGCCAGGCTGTGGAGGCCGCTGCCAGCCTCATCTTTGCTCAGCTCAGTGTGGCGCTCTGGTCTCTTCCCCTCGGTGGAAAGTCATCCTTGCCGCTGGTGTGGGGCGTCACCTTTAGCACCCCGCATAATCTGTCTGTTCCAGAAGGGGTCCTTCCCCCAAGGCAGTCCCATGGGGGTTAGGGCTCCATGAGATCCCAGGGCGCACAATTCTGCCCGTATCACCCAGCATGTAAAACCAGAGTTAGAGCTGTCAAATTGATTCAAGATCAAACAAAGACAGGCCTGATACAGAATAAAATTTTCATGGGGCTTGTTTTACCTGGTAGTTATTTCTAACATCCTCACTGACCTGAGTGTCAGCGCTCACCCTAAATCAATATTCCCATTTGTACTCCCCATATCTGTGTCCAAATAGTTCCTCAGTTCCACTGTCCCTGTGGATGAGTATTAATAAAATATCTTGTGGTTTAAAACACGCATTTATCTTTGAGACTTTAAAAAATCATGTATTGATTTTATTTCTGAAACACAATCAACTGCACCCTTTTGAAAATGACTTGATTTATATACAGTATGGTGCATAAAAGTTCACGTTCAGGGGTTGGGGATACAGCCAAGTGGCACAGAGCCTGCTAGGCAAGCACGAGGTCCTGATTTCAATTCCTGATACAAAAAAAGATATATATATATATATATATATATATATATATATATATATTTATTTTTCTTTTTACCGGTACCAGGGATCGAACTCATAACCACCTGCTTGCAAGGCAGGTGCTTATGCCACTGAGCTAAATCCCCAGCCCCAAAAAGGTTTATATTTAAGTCATGGAAAGTCAGTTCTTGTCTTGGTATTTTTCTCTCATTGCTGAGATAAATACTGATGCCCAAAATGAAGGAAGGGAAAGTTTATTTAGCTTACAGCTTTGGAGGTTTGAGTCCTTATTCAGCTGGCTGTAAGGCAGGCTGGCGGCTGAGGGAAACCCTTCCTGGCACAGCTACAACAGACACCACATGTGACCAGAGCAAACGGGGAGGAGCAGCCTCCTTCCCTCCCTTAACACTGTATGCTGGCTCCGCCCCTGGATGGGCGTGGCACTCCCACCACCAATCCCAGCACTAGACATTGAACCAATCACAAACACTAGATTTAGCTGCCTCCATGACTGGGTGAAGCTTGGGGGGTCACCCGGGCACAAACCGTAACAGTCCTAAACACAAAAATGAATTTTAAAAATACTATTTGTTGAGTCCGTCACTAAGGAGGATGATATGTATATCTAGTTTCTTGCTTCAGGATAAATATATCTCCATAAATATATGCATACATAAAGCAGCCAAGTGGCAAGACATCCAGAAGTTGGATCCCATAACACCCATCAGATTTGCAGAGGATCACAGGCTTGGTGAGGTCTGAGCCAAACCTAGTGTGAGGATCAAGCAAGAACTGCCCACGTCCACTACTCCTGAGTTTCCTTACCTATAAAATCAAGAGAGGTAATGATTATTGTTGGAGTGATTCATAGGATGATCCGTATAGATAAGACATAGAATATGTTTCAGTCCTTTTCTATTATACTGATGTTTTTATTCCACAAATATTCATAGAGCACTAGCTACATCAGCCAAGGCTGAAGCATAGAGACAGACACATGAAATATGGATGCAGGGTGTGTGTGTACATATGGGTACATGTGTGTGTATGTGTATGTGTACGTGTGTGTTTATTGGAAGAAACTGACCTGAGCCATCCTGAGGGCTCCCTTGACCGGCCCAAGGTCCACAGGGTAGGCAGGGAGGAAGGATGGTGAGCAGGCTGGAGTCGCTTTGCAGGGACCAAAGCTGATATCCATGGGGATGGTGGGTGGAAAGGAAGATGCTGCGGGGCAGGAGCTGTCACACAGGCAGCTGCCGTTTAGTCTCCTAGCTAAGCGGCTCCTAGTGCGTCTCTTCAAGCCAGGCCTACTAAAGGGAACTCTCTTTTTCTCTTCTTTTTTTCTCCTTCCTTCCTCTGTCTGTCTCTGTCTCTCACTCTCTGTGCATATTAGGTAAGTTATTGATCGCTGAGCTGCCTGCTTAGCCTGACACCATTTGGAGTGATTTAATGTCAGCTGACTTAGCACTCTAATTTCATTGATGGACTCCCGCCTGAGCCCTCTGGATGAGTGCTTGGCTGAGTAGCCCAGAGCCCAGAGCAGGTACCTGACAATGTAGCTGTCCCTCCCTGCTGTCTTCCAGCTCCGTGCCGCCCAGCCTGCTCTGTCTGGAAACACAGTAGAAATACTGCTCTGGGGACTGCAGTTTAGCCAGCAAGGTTCAGCATCACAAAGCTGTCACATTGGAATTGTGCTGGCCGTGGTCTAAGTCCTTAAGATACATTAATTAATGGAACACACAAAATCATGCTCAAGATAGAGCTTATGTCTTATTGGAAAGGACAAAAATGAACACCTAAAATACCCTCTGAAAACTCAACACTAATTAAAACATCAGAATCTGGGGCTGGGGATTTAGCTCAGCGGCATAAGCGCCTGCCTTGCAAGCAGGCAGTCGTGAGTTTGCTCCCTAGTACGGATAAAAAGGAAAAAGACAAAACAAAAACAAAAACAAAAACATCAGAATCTGATGAGTTTTTGTTTGTCTGTTTTGGGTTGTTTGGTTTGGCTTTGCTGAGGCTGGGTCTTGCTGTGTAGTTTCAGCTGGCCTTGAACTCACGTAGCCTCAGCTGGCCATCAACTCTCAGTAGTCCTCCTGCCTCAGCCTCCCCAATTCTGGGACTACAGGTGTGTGCCACCAAGCCTGAGGTGTGGTAAGTTTTAAGAAGGAATAACAGTAGAGGGTCAGAGAGTAACTGGGAGATTGATTACTAAACCAGTCAGCAAGCACCTTTCATTTATTTATTTATTTATTTATTTATTGGTCTTTTTGAGACAGGGCTTCACTCTGCAGTTCAGGCCAGGCTTATGCTCACTATGTAGCCCAGGCTGGCTTCAAACTCTTCGTGATTCTCCTGTCTCAGCCTCCCAAGGGCTGGGAATTCCGGCATGTGCCACCACATGAGGCTAAGTTGTTAGTACTTTAGAAAGAAAAATGAGGGCTGGGGATTTAGCTCAGCGGCATAAGCGCCTGCCTTGCAAGCAGGCAGTCGTGAGTTTGATCCCCAGTACCGATAAAAAGGAAAAAAGAAAGAAAAATGAAACAAGGCTCACTTAATATGAACCAAGAACACAACATTACACATCTTTCTTTATTGATCTATTTGATCTTCTAGAAAGATGTTTAGAAATGTACATGCCATTTTCTATATTAGTAATATGCTTACGGTATCAATACAGGGCTATAATAATTGACTTGGGAAATTATCTATTAAAAGCAATTTTTATGCTTTTAGAAAGACATAACTGTCTTTTACTGGGCTTGAGGTTTTGTTCCTTTTTCCTAAGTACTTTCCACCCTCCCACTGCACACAATGGATGGTGTCCCTGAAGATAAAGCGGCGGTGTCCAGGGAGGAATCGACCCGGTAGCTCCCTGACAGCTACCCTTCCTGGGGAGGGCACCTCTGCTTGCATGGCTGCGTGAGTGTCGCCAGGCACCCACAGGAGCTATCACGGTGGCTGTGACCTTGGTGGGCACCCTGCTCTTACGGGACCACATCACTTGTGAGGTCAGTCCCTGAACCAAATGTCACCGTGCAACGGGTGACTGTGGCAACCAGCCAACACTTCTGTGACATCAGCATCACTACCAACAGTCAGAGATGAGCTTTGGGAAGGTGGAGGCAGAGCTGAGCAGTCGCAGGGAAAATCAGGACGCACCTCCAGGCCTCGCCAGGTACCCTCATGTGGCGTTCCTGGCACAGCCTGGTGGTCCAGAATTGGCCAGCGGAAAGTTATGAATGTGAGTACCAAAAGCAGTGTTTTGGGTTGCTCAAATAATATTTCTTGTAACTAAGCACAGAAGATATTATTTTTCTCCACGGGGAAAAACTTTTTGGCAAACACGAACCCTTCCTAAAGCATCCACAAAAGTATGAATTTTCTGTTGCTGAGAATTTTCATCAGCTTTGCAAATGGACCCGAATACTATTCAGCTGGGGACAAACTTGAAGTCTTCAGTGTTCAGAATGTGTTTTTTATTAAGGCTAGAACGCGTGAGCTGTGAGCAACAGAGAGTGGGGAGATCATACAGCTGTGACAGCAGCTGGGGAGCCCTGGCCCTCTGTGCAGAGGAGTGGGTGCTCTAGACGTGGCCGCCAAAGAGAGGTACAGAGCTAGAACCCCAGGACCCTGACCATAACCTCAGTCTGTGGCGCAGACAGAGGCAGAGAGAGAGAGACTGTGTGAATGCATGTAATATATTTCTAATTCCACTGCAAGGGAAATCCTCAGTTTGCTGCTCTCTATGAGATAAACTGCTTCAGACAGCTTGTTTATTTGCATTTAATTCTCTTTTGGTCTTTTCTACCTTTAGATTTCCTTAAGCGCCAAGGTATGTATCAGATGATTTCTTGCACAGGGAAAATAGTTGTTCCTTAAAGAATGAGTTGTCAAAGAAAAAAAAAAAAAACCCGGGAAAACGTTCACCAGTTCGAGAGAATGATCCACCCTCATTTTATTCTTATTTATTCTTTCCTTTTCTTTCTTTCTAACTTTTTATGTGAATAACCAGAATAATGTAGATGTCAGCTGGTAACAGAATTGACACAGATGAGCTGAGGGGTGTGGGTTGATAGAGCCCCTTCTAGGACGCCCCCGGACTCCACCCCAGGACCCTACCTGGAAACTGAAATGACAGTAACCAGAGTTTGCTATTATTTACTTTCTTGGGTTTCTTTGCGAGGAGAGAAGTGCATCACAGGAGTTAGCAGGGCACGTGGCAGCCCCACACGGAAAGAATGTGCCAGCCCTCCCCCTTTCTCAAGGGTGTGTGATGAGTACAATCTCTAAAGAAGAAAAATTGTCACCTGAGGTTGTCAAATGTAGTGGTCGCTGCGTTAGCAAACAAAGAATGTAGAAATCATAATCATCTGGGTGGCAGCTGCTTGTAATCCCAACGTTCAGGAGGCTGAGGCAAGAGGATTGCCATGAGTTCAAGGCCAGCCTCTACTATGTAGTGAATTCTGGGGCAGCCTGAACTATATAGTGAGAGCCTGTCGCAAAAAATCAAAGAAAAATACCCCCCAAAGTAAATAGACTTTTTAAAAACACGACATTTAAAATAGACCTATTTTGTAGAGAAAGTTTTGAAACTACGGCATTTAGGAATTATTGGGCATTGTGCTGCATGCCTGTAACTCCAGAATTTTGGAGGCTGAGGCAAGAGGATGGCCAAGAGTTTGAGGCCAGCCTGGGATACGCAGTTAGACTCCATTTCAATAAGCAAAGATTTTCACAGATGATTGCTTTTCTAAAAATTCCATCAATATTCTTTCTGCTTAGGTAGATATCGATTAATTAGTGCTGAGATTCATAATGGAGCCCTGGGACATTAGCGGGTACTCTACCACTGAGCTGCACATGCTCCCTGGTGAGACCACAGTCCTAAGGCAGCCAGGGCGGGCATGTGGGACGGGGTCGCCCATCTGACCAGCTGCTCCCAGGATCTAACTCAGAACCAAGCTGAGTATGGAAACCCTTTGAGTTTACTTTATCCACAAAATAAAGATCTGCCCTGGCAGATTGCTAAAGTCATGCTTCTTAGTTTATGATTCTACGAAATTTTTTTGATTTCCTTTTATCATATGGGATATGGAAAGTTTGAGACATTTAGGATAAGAAGCTCAGGGAATAAGAACCAGGGAGTTACAAATGGATGTTGACCAAAGATCACGTTGTCGTCACGCAGATTCTCACTGAGAGTGAGGTAAAACCAGATCGAGTGTCACTGTGCACACGTGTGAAGTGTTATTTTATTTTATTTAATACAGGGTTGTGATAGCCCTAACAAAATGAGTTTTCAAGCAGTATTGCTTTCCCTAAGGGAGAAAAAATAAACACTGGCCTTTGTCGGAGCAGGAAGTGTGGGCAGAGTTCTCAACTTTCAGGATGATTTGACTTTATATAAAGAGTCTTTCCAGATACACCCTGAAGCTGTTTGAATTCCTTCCCTAAAGCATTTTCTGTGGTCCTGGGCCTTTGTCCTGAGCTACTTCCCTAGCCCTGTTTTATTATTTCGAAGCAGGATCTCACTAAATTGCTGAATTACAAAGCAAGCCTGAACCTGAACTTTCGATTCTCCTGCCTCAGCTTTCCAGTGTGAGGTCAGGAAGCGTGACCCGCTGGCCTGGCTGGGAGCTAGTGAAGAAGAAACTGTCACAAATCCATGCTTGTGGTTGCATCTGCTTCTGTGTAGCTGAGAATAAAAACTGAGGGGAAGAAAGGAGAGGGTGGGCAGGGCGTGGGTGGGGAGCAGCACCCTGGGCTCAGAGCTGTTTCCGGAAGAAGTCAGATTAACCTGTTTCCATGAGGGGCCTAGGTTGTGGGTGTGTTGCTACTGTCTGAATGTCTGTGTCTCCCCAGATTCATAGGTTGAAACTCTAAACCTAACTAACTTAGACCTTCACAGAAACTAATCCTAACTTCCAACATAAATGGTGTCTTTTGTTCTCTGTTGCTGTATCAAAATACCAGAGATCAGGTAGTTTATTAACAACAGAAGTTTGAAGCTGGTCATGGTTGTGCATGCTGGCAACTCTGGTAACTCAGGAGGCTGAAGTAGGAGGATTGTAAGCCTGGAGCCAGCTTGAGCAACAGAGCAGGACAGAGCACACACAGACCTGCTCAGGTCTTCCGGCTTCTTGTAACACCGCCTGCCCCGTCATGGGCCTCCCCCTGCTAACCCATCCAACCCTAATCCCCTCCCACATCCCTAGCCTCCAAGCCATGGATTTAGGAATTTAAGGTTTACATTTTCAGTGTGTGAACTCTGGGGGACACATCCCAACCCCAGTAGGTGGCCGTTGCTGGGTGGAAAGGCCTTATGGACAGCATCAGCAGACGGGGTCTCTGAGTAGGCTTGGTGTCCCTGGGAAAGAAGCCCAGGCAGACACATGTCACACTACTGTGTGAAGACACAGCACCAAGGGGCCATCTGTGGACCAGAAAGGGGGTCTTCCTCAGAGAAGAAGCCTGTGGGTGCCTTGATTTGGGGCTCCCAGCCACCAGCCTTGTGACATGCCAGGGTCCTTAGCTTATAGGTTATCTCAAGTCTGGCACTGTATCCTAGCAAACAAATGGACCTTTGACGGCATCCATAAGTGAAGGTCTCACACCCGAGCTGTGGCTTTCCGGAGAGCCCCTGGAGGAGTCGCCCCAGTGCGGTGAGACATATCAGGTGGACCGTGTGCTGTGTGACCCATGTTACAAAAGCAGAAAAGCTGGACACAGATGCCCAGGAGGACACAGATGATCAGAGAAAGCCATTTCTGGAGAGACCTGAGAGACTGTTTCCTCACAGCCTGCAAAAGAAATCCATCCCATGGACATTTGCTTTTGATTGTCTAACATGCAGAACGTGAGATAGTAAGTTTGTTTGGTTTCAGCTGCTCAGTTTGTTCAGTTTATTACTGCAGCTCTTAGCAAACTAACAGGGCACCTGACCTAAACACACGCGAGGCTTCAACCGGGAGGCAATCCTCCTGCCTCAGCCTTCGAAATGCTGAGATTATAGGCAGGTGCCTGGTGTTGATTACCTCCCTAGCACTGGGTGTTAACAGTGCTTGCATCTTAGCGCTACACCGTACTGATTTGACTAAGACATCAGCCTCATACTGGCGTTTTGCTAAAGCATAATTAAAGAATTCACGCTGTGGGACGTGTTCTGACTGGGATCTTACATTTGCATTGTCCCAGTACCAAGAATAGGCTTCCCAGTGGGCTTGCTTTTTAAAATTTCATTCCGTGATAGGCCAATTCCTAAGACTTCAGTGTACTATCAAGCAAGGGTAAATTTTTATTTTATTTTTAAAAACTTTCATTAGCACATATTTGTGGTACATAATAATTACATTCATTATGGAATTGGTACATGTATGTATACAACACATGTCCATTCCTTTTTCCCCCACCCCTTTAGCCCTATTTTTTAAAAATTGTTTTTCTTTTCTTTATTCTTTTCTTTTTTTGCCAGCATCAGATTTAGTTTTTTAAAAGCCTTTATCAAGGTAACCACTAACAGCTAACTAACAGGCCAAAAACCATATAAAACCCATAAAATAATTATACTAAAACAAGGTACGCTTTTAAATACATTTGCCCAGTGGGATTACAATGTTTTTCTCTTTTTTGTCCTATTAAAGGACAAATATTAAAAAAATGATCAGAGATATTTAGCTGTTATTTTTGCTGATTACATAAATATTTTTATGGTTAAGAAAAACTGGGGTGGGGAAATAAGACTTAATGGCTTAATGATTCAAGGGTTTAATTAGAAATGAATAAGTACCAGAGAGTCATTGTACAGCGTGGTGATCGCAGTGAATAATCGTGCATTGTACACTTGGTCACTGCTGAGAGACGACATTGTAAGTGATCCGACGCCACATGTTAAGTGTATGAAATGACGGATTGTTAATTACCTCCACTTAATAATTTTACATGCACTCCAGGTCTAAATGTCACACTGTATGCCATAACTATGTATCATTTGAGCTGGACATGGTGGCTTATGCCTGTAATATCTACCTATTCGGGAGGTTGAGGCAAGAAGATCTCAGGTTGAAGCCCGTCTGGGCAATACCGTGAGAGTTCATCTTAAAAAAAATAAACATTTTTCTTTGCCCATTATACCTTTGTAAAGCTGATAAGAAAGAGTAACAGCTGATGAAATCTTGTTGAAGCTCTTCTCTGTGAACTGATAATAAATGACCTGCTTTCTATTGAGACAGTGATGTAATAGTG